TTTTTTGGCACCATGGCATTGCTTGGAATGATCACCCCCACAGTGCAGGCAGGTCCAGTTGAAGGGTAAAAATTATGTCAGAGTTAACATCCTTCTCAGGAATGTTGCAACTCAACGGATAGTTGAAAAATAAGTAATATTTAAAAAAAACTTTTTTTTAAAACACGCATTAATGGAATGTACCGTGCTAGTAATGGAACAACTCCACGACTCCAGGAAGTGGCCCCGAAGCTTGCCACAACGTAAGGGGACCGTGGTGATTTACAGCCAACATCAGTTGAGCGTGGACAATTAGACCCAAGCCGAAACATAACATATAAAAAATTATGTTTAAAAATATATTTTTATTTTTAATGATAGAATATAGTATTGCCATCAGTATGACATAAGTATACCAAGTTTACAGTCGATACCACATTTGGAAGTGGGTAAAAATTTAGTTACAAGATTTGACGATACAACAGACAGTGAGTTAATAAAAAGCGTGTAATTATTAGTAATTTTATAGGGCACAATGAATGAGGCATTTTGTCAAGGTGACTCTCACGTATGTGTCATTTTGCATCATCACCCACCCCTATTGGACATCTGTGAAAAAGAGCTTTGTAGCTCATCGGATTCCTCCAGTCTAAATAATGATTCTGGTTTCTGATCCACTACGCGGTAAATTCCCATGCTTCTCTTCGATTTGCGCGAGAGAGTGGCGTCGGTAATCGAGAAAGGTTCTCTCTGTCTTCGCGCTGATAAATCGGTCGCAAACAATTTAGTGAAGTCCATCAAGCAAGAGTCCTTAGCGCATGCCTTGGCGGCGAGCTCCATTGAGCGTTGCTATTTTTCTTATTCCCCCCTGAGTGCCTACTTCAGGTTCAGTCAATCGGCAATGAAGCGCGTGGTCGTGCTGGCACTGGGGATGTGGGGGCATAGCTGGCCATGCGTAGATAGAGTGTGTGGTTGCCCGTGGTACAAGGAGCGAGGGGAGCGGTAGTGTAGTGCTGGTTAGCACACTGCGCTACCGAGTTTCGATTGACCTAGGATTTCCTTAAGTCCACTCAGCCTTACATGCGGTGTTTACAAATATTGGCAATGGTGTGGTGCTGGCGAGACAACACTCTATCATGCGCCGTACTGCAGCCTTCATAGCTGCTCGCTGACAGCACTTGCCCAAACAGCCAGTGTCGGCTATACAGGGGATCTTTGTATTTTCATTTGTATTATAGTGAGGGGAGTTTCGACGTGATATCAGAACAGGACAGAGTTATTACTGATCTGGCTGCTGTACTGGGTTCAATGCTTTTCTATGCAAACCAGTGACTGGGTTTGTGTTCTTCCCTTTGTAAGTGAATCATTGTTTTGGAAAATTGATTGTTTAAGTGAAATTGGATATGCCCTTCAAAAAAAATGTATCCCGCCTGTGAACAGAATCCTGTAGAACTTTATTCTGTATTTTGTGGAATTGGTTTATTCAGGACCCTGTGGTTACATGTTAGGTAGACCATAGGACATATTTGACAGATGTCATCCAATTAGTTTTAATGAAGTTGCGACTGTAAGAGCAACACAAATGATAGCAAACGACTTAAGTTGTGGACGTTGGAAGAATAAACCATTATTGTTATAAAATCAGTACACTATTAAACTTGCACAAATGCATTTTGTTCCGAATAAGGCGAGTTATTTCTCCGAATTCTTACTCGAAAAACAATCGGTGTGACATTTGCTTTCTAACCTGGCCTGAGCATCCCCTAAGTAGGCCCTGGCTGAAATTATACACGGTCTAAATTTAGCTTTCGATTTATCTATGGCTCAGCTAGAACTAATAAGAGGAGTTGAATGTGTGTGTGTATGTGGAGCGGTAGTGTCATGGTTAGTGCTGTGTACTACGAGCCCGGCGACCTGAGTTCCATTCCCGCTCACAGCCAACATCGATGGCCAATATCTAAACCGGTTCTGGGCCTCCCCTAAGTCGACTGGGTCTTAAAAAAATTATTAGCTGTTCCAGTGTGAAAAACATCAGCATTGGGGAGACAAAGACGGCCAGGCGTGGTGTTGGCTACTCCACCCCCTCGTGTGCCATGCTGGCCTTTCATAGGTACTCACTAACAATACTTGCCCCAATACAGTAGTCTGATAAAGATATTTGTCTTTGTACGCACCCGTGTGCATGCTTGTGAATTGTGTCAGCGGTGGACGGTCTTGTCACCTAAATTATGTTTGTGTTTGTGTTGGTCTCCAGGGAAACAAGCTTGTGTTTACAGATAGCCCTCCCACCCACAGCATGTTATAATGGCCAATGGGCCCCTTTAGGTAGGGAGGGCCCTAAAGTTTTATGCTGAGCTCCCGGTTGATGGTGGTGGTGTTTATTGAGAGGCACGGTCGGTTTTGTTCTAAACCACTTGTGTATTGCACCACCTGCATAATTCATATGCTTGTATCATTATTGAAGAAAGCACGGCAGGCAATCAAAAGTAAAACATGCTCAGCCTGTGAATTATGGGAAGTGCAAGGAATAATAAATTAATTGTTGAACGGGTTCCCCCCCTTTTGAAAAATCTCGCATTATCGATCTAAATAGATAAAAAAAAAGAATGAAGGTTGACATCGAACGGAAGTCGTGAACCCGGACAAAGAAAGCAAATTGTGGCTGAAATTGGTTCGGCCGCCGTTATTGCGAATGAGCAGATTAAAGGGCGGGGGGGGGGGGGGGGTGGGAAATTATGTTTTCAGAGACCTGTTAATATGAAACGCTATTTTTTTGTGCCTATATAATGATGGTTAACACCGCCATATTGTGTTATTTTATTTTATCAATTTATTATTTTATTCTCATTTTACGTGACTTTACCGAAAGAACGAAAGAAGACCGCCATTCATGTTTTTGTTATCGTGATGTGCCCTCTGTGCTCGCTGCTAAATGAATGCCAACCGCACGCACGTGTCATGTGCAATGCGTTGAAACAACAACACGGGCTAACTTAACGACGAGAGAAATGTGGCCTCGTTTTTAGAAGCCTTCACCTGCCTTGGGCACTTTTGATTTTCAACTTTTCACTTGCTGAGGGTATTTTAAACTCTCGCTTTTACCTTAGCAGACCCCTTTTTAAAAAAAAAAAATCCAGAGGCGTGCCTCTCCAAAAGCAAAGCTATTTGAATTGTGAGCTTTTCTTACAAGTGCTTTCCACGTCTCTTAATTGATTGAGCTAATCATGGGGATATGTGTCTGCTTAACAATTTTTTGTACTGAGTGTCGCTATGCCCTCTGCTTAGTTGGCTTTAGAATTACAGCAGCAGCAGCAGCAGCTTCAATTGTGAGGTAACTTACGTGGGTCGCCGAGGTTGCTGGGTGGACGGCTTGCTCTGAACTTTTATTCTCCGAGACTTGAAGCTCCTACTCGCCACTTAACCAAACAATGAAGTGCATGCACTTACCATGGCTTGCATTACTCCAGCGTTGTAACAGGATAAAAATAAAAAAGCGTAGCTCCGTAAATTTCGCCTCCGTGGTGTCTGTATTCCGGAATGGGGTTTTTCACCGGCGCAGAAAGATCGAGAAAAAAATGCTGTCGTAATACAGTAATTGCTATATTTTATTTTATGCCCACGTGACTTTACCGAAAGAACCAGAGAGTATGGATTACTGCAGTCACGAAAGCTTCAGATCAACAATAATTACTCCCAAGTGTTGCGTCAGCTGCTGCAACATTTATATGATTGAATTGCACACGGTCTGATGCCTGTTTATTGATTCATACATAATAAACCCTGTTTTCTAACTCTTAGCATTCTCAGACTTATTGATATTCAGACCAACCAGGATCTTGAAAGCTGCACTTTGTGTAGTAATTTGCTGTCGCGCTACAGTTGTGTGCGTGTTATCGTTTACAACATTACATATGGTCTGTAAATCTTACATATGGCCAGCCTGGCCTATTAACACAGCGACTACTTTTCTCTGGGTGATTAATACTGTGCCCTCCATGTGTTTTACAGTATTTACTTTACATGTATACGTTACAGAGGTATAAGTGCAAGGGCAGGTCAACGCATGTTGAAAAGGATATTGAATTATTAATGTTTGCGCAGTGTCACACTTGTTACTTTTCTTGGACAAACTACAAATGACTTGCTCAATACGGGATTCCGAGTCGTGGCAGTTAAGCCTAACCATTGACCGTTTAGTTCATACTCCGTTTCCTGATTATCGTAACTGTACTATAAAAAAATGTTATCACTTTTACATAATCTTCATACATTGTCTGCCTAATGCTGGATGAACGCCTCCCCACACCACTGCCATCCATCCAGGGGTGGAGCCACAGGGGGGGCTGGGGGGGGGCTTAGCCCCCCCTAAAATTTTGTGAAAGTCGGTAATCGGGATAACCGGATATCCGGCTGCTGCAAAATGCTGCAGGCTGCCACCTTGTGCTGCCCTGCAGGCTGCCACCTTGTGCTGCCCTGCAGGCTGCCACCTTGTGCTGCCCTGCAGGCTGCCACCTTGTGCTGCCCTGCAGGCTGCCACCTTGTGTGCTGCCCTGCAGGCTGCCACCTCGTGCTGCCCTGCAGGTTGCCACCTTGTGCTGCCCTGCAGGCTGCCACCTTGTGCTGCCCTGCAGGCTGCCACCTTGTGCTGCCCTGCAGGCTGCCACCTTGTGCTGCCCTGCAGGCTGTCACCTTGTGCTGGATATCTCAGAATATTGAAGTCAGCCCCCCCCCAAAGTCCAAATCCTGGCTCCGCCCCTGCATCCATCTGACTCCTGCACGTGAACTGATCTCATCACTCCATTTCCACAGTGGTCGTGCTCTTTCACATTAAATATCTATAACAGTATATGTTTTTGATAGTAAAACAAATGTTAAATTTTGAAGAAATGTTCACAATCTGCGTATGAACTAAATTTTAACTTAAAACTTTAGTGACTGCAGGAATTCATAGTCTCTGGTTCTTTCGGTCAAGTCACGTAGATATAATTTTTTTTATAATAAAAAATGAAGTGATTAAAAATATCACGACGTTTCAATCGCAACACAAGCAGTCATCAAGATTATTATTTTTTCTACCTACGTGACTTTACCGAAAGAACCATAGAATATGCGTATGAACTCTTACGTGTGATATTTGAATTAGAGACGTGGACACCGACTTAAAATGCAACAAAGATGAAAAGTGTGGAGAGATGCAGGCTTGGAATGACACAGAGACAATTTGCGGAAACACGTCAAATCAACGAACAAACACAAATCAGAAATGCCTTGTTGACTGTTGAGCACAGTAAGTAAGCTCGGGCAGGACCCATCGCGAGTAGGATGATGGCCAATGGACAAAGACGGGGGATAGATTGGCAGCCAAAGTAGGGAATGCACAGTTGATGTATGCATGTTGAACTTCTTTCATATACCGTACCTAGACAACCGTGATAATCGGAGTTTGATGCGCATGATCGAAATAGATTTTGGCACTGCTGTAATTAATTCAAAACTTGAGTAAATTAATTACGAGCACAATGTAGAAACAATGCCATGTAAATTAAATGTATCACTCTAACTTGCTGTTGGAAGAATTTTCAGATTAATTATTCAGCCCTGAACCACACAAATGAAAAAAACATTGCATTTGTTAGATTCCGTATATCGTCCTATTAACTTTCCCCTACAATGAAAGTTATCATGTGCATATATTTTTTGGAGCATATGCGGTCCTGCTAATTGTATATGTACAAGATCTGACGCCTCTGCCATGCTGTCTTGTTGTTTTATGCTTAGACGCGTCATCATGGCCAAGTCGGCGCAGCATTGTGGGGTCAGCTCGGGGTCACCTGGCGATGAAGAGTGGCCGTAAGCCTCCCGACAGCCCGACATCACCCTCTCTGCATCGCCTTTACTTTTTGTTCATATTGGCGGTGGAAATTACAATCACAATGAGGAACAAAGTGGTTTACTTCTAAGGCACTTTTGTCAGCCCTCTGCTGGACAAGGGCCTCATCCACTCGAGCGGCGCCACGGTGGCGAGATGTTAAATAGCTCGCCTGGTATACATGAGGTTGTGGTTTCGATTCAGACCCTGACGACGCCTGTATGTCAGGAGTTTTCATGCCTCTCCCTGTGGTTTGCGTGGATTTTTCTCCGGTCCTCCACAGTTTTTTCCTCCACGTTTTAGATTCAATATTCGGTTTAGAGTATTTGGCCGCTATAAACGTCCACACGTGATAAGCCACTTCGTTGAGCTATCATTTGTGGCCACGTCGCTTCTGAAAAAGAGCTATGTAGCTCGGTGGGCCATACCTGGTAAAATACAAATAGTTAAGTTTGTGGGTTTTGTGGATTGTTTGACCATACTTTAGCAGTACAACAATGGGTTTTGCCGCACTGCCCTCTGCTGACAAGGTAGCCCTGCAGCAGCCTACAATATCTGCCTCATGGATGGTAGTGGCCCATCCAGGGGCGGAGCCAGGATTTCAGGCCGGGGTGACATTCAACAAATTTTAATTTCAAGAATGATTCGGGAGTCAGGCTGTTGAACTAGACGCCATCGTTTGGCGACACACTCTGACAATGCAGTTGCACGGAGTCCGCCAGACCGAGTGTCGAGCGTCGTACACTTCTACGCAGAATGTTTCAGATTTTCGATTTTTTATTTTTTTCGGGGGTGACAATTGTCACCCCCGATGGGCCCCTGGGCCCATCCGCGCAAAAATCTTGGCTCAACCCTGCTTAGCGTCTCAGTTCTGACGAGATCGGGTGCATTCCAGGTTCTACGAAAGACCAGATAGCAGTGTTAGAATGCAAAGCTGTCATCTCTTGGTTTTGAGTTTTGAGTGTTTAGTTGCACGGATGATCGCGTTTATCCAGCTAGACCATCTATTTTACAAGGGAGATCCGTGGTACTTGAGTACAGCGGCAAACTAAAGACAAAAAACATCAAGATGTTCATCTTGACCTAAGACGTTGTATGCACTTTGCTGTACAGTTGGAACACCTGTACTGCGTGCATAATCACAAGATTGCAGGAGACTCCTGTGGCTGCTTTTTTATGGTGTCCCAATCCGACACTCATCATGGTTAAAGAATTGCAATTTAAATCAAACTTCCAAATGAAACTCATTTATACAAATGTTTTATGCCACTCTCTTCACTCAATGACACTGCAACCTAAGTTCAAAAACCGCATTGTTGCCTTATTTTTAAACCGTGTATTTGTAGTCACTGCGCCACTTCCTTTGTGCAATGAAAGGTACACCGCTATTTCAAACATGCGGTATAGCAGCCAAATTCACAGCCAACAAAGCAACGAGCCTATAATTAATCCGTTCACCTGGAAAACGTCCTTATGCAAGGCACACCGTGTATTCTCCTAATTGTGTGAGAGACTGCCAGATCCACTGTACGCATGTTTTAAATATTGCCCATCGTATGAGTAATCCTGCTGTGCTGTAATGCTAAGCACACCTAGATCTGCAATCTGGAGGTCATCGGGGTCAATCTCCTGGCACGGCAGTTGAAATGAAGAGCAAGTCTCTTAACCATACTCTCTGGTTCTTTTGGTAAAGTCACGTAGGTATAAAATAAAATGAAAATAAATCACAGGCAATCATCATCAGGTGGGAAAACCACAGCAAAAAAATGTTTCCCACCTGATGATGATTGCTTGTGTTGCAGTCGAAACGTCGTGATTTATTATTTATTTTTCTTTCTACCTACGTGACTTTACCGAAAGAACCAAAGAGTATGGATTCCTGCAGTCACGAAAGCTTCAAATCAAGTTTCTTAACCCCCCCCCAACCACTGGTCCACCCAGCAACATGAGTAGAGACACCGCAGACTATCGGCAGGTTGCGTGTGTGTGGGGTAAAGTGTGGGTAAACTCTCACCCTCTTTAAAAATGTCTTGCTAGCATGAAAGAATAGACCAAAACACTCCGTGTAGTGGGTGTCTAGAACTCACTCTAGTGAAGGCATATCAGCAGTGATGTGGGCAAGAATTTTTTATTTTATTTTTTTACCAGGTAAGGCCCACTGAGCTATATATATATATCTCCTTTGTCAGAAACGACCTGGCCACAAATGATTATCATATGGAAATTGATAGCAGCCAAATACTGTAAACGCATGTTTCTAAATGTGGAGGGAAAAACCTTAGGACCCAGAGAAAAAAATCCACGCAACCACGGGAAAAAACACGCAGACTCCAAATATTCCGGGTCAGGGTCGAACCCAGGACCTCCTGTATACCAGGCGAGGTAGTTAACATCTCACCACTGTGGCAGCGTTATTAACAAATGTATTTGTGTTTTTTTGCTGTTGATAGTGTTTGGAATGTTGTCTCACAGGGGTGGGTTTGTATTGGTTCAGGTTTCCCTGCATGTCATGTAACCCACGGTGGCGATGCCTGTGGTGTTCCCTTTGTGTTCCATGGAGCAGCATTTTGCCCTGGCTCTTCCAGCAGACTTGCGAGCCAGATGATGATTGAGGACCAAATGACGTCGCATTACAACCGCATCTCTTCAGCCAAAGGTAGCAGAATCTTTTGTGTGTGTGTGTCTGTGTGAGCGTGAGTGCCTGCAGAGTGGTGGCACAGTGGTTAACCCATAGTGCGACAAACTGGGCAGTATAATTTGGATTCCCAGCCATGGCTGACGTCAGTGGCAAGTCGTATCTGAACCAGTCCTGGGCCGCCTCTAAGTGCCTTACGTTAGTGCAGGTGTAGTGTGTAAACATGAGCACTGGAAAAGAAAAGGTGGATAGGCTTGGTTGTGGTTCCACCACCTCGTCATATGACATGCCAGCCTTAATGGGTACTTGCTAACAAGAATCTGTTGAGGCTATATGGAGGCTCCTTCTATGTGAAGTTGCAGTGGTTTGCGCATTACGATCTGATTTCGGCAACCTCAGCTCGATTCCCTGGCCACAGTTAGCTGGCAAGTGCCACATGAATCTCCTGGATCTCTCCTAGGTCAACTCGGCATTTAAATAAGTACCCGCTGAAACACTGGAGAGTCTCAGTAGCCCACGCAAGGTAGTGGCCACACCACCTCATAATGTGCTGTACACCAGCCTTAGTAGGTGCTCCCCGAATAGAATTTGCAATTGTGGACTCGTATGGTGAAAGTTTGGATATTTATCTTAGTGTGTGTGTATTTGCGTGTGTGTGGGGAGCGGAAGTGTAGCGGTTAGCGCGCTGCGCTACGAACCCAGCGACCCGGGTTCGATTCCCGCTCACGGCCAACATCAGTAACAATTATTTTAACCTTTCTTGGGCCTCCCCTAGATCGACTCGGCCTCAAATAAGTACCTGGTGCGGTGTGTAAACATTACCACGAGGGAGACAAAGTCGGCCGGGCGTTGTGCTGGCCACCCACCCCCTTGTGTGCCATGCCGGCCTTCATAGGTGCTCGCTAACAGCACTTGCCCCAACAGTCTATTAAGGCTACACGGGGGATCTTTGTCTTTTGTGTTACAATTGTGGAGAGTGGTTTTGTACACTGCGCTACGAACTCTACTCAGCTTAATAGATGCTCAGTAACAGCACTTTTCCCCATAAGCTGTACACCATAAATGGGGCATGTTTGTCTTCTCATGTTGTGCCCCTGTAATTGTTTTGTAGTCCATTAACTCCCATGTTCCTTCTTGCAGTCTATTGATTTATAATTTAATGTTTTGCTCAAATGATTGGAAACCTTAGGCCGGCGTCTTAATCCAGTGTCGCCGGCACATTCGAGCGAGTCGTATTTATTAAATGTCAAATCGCTCGTGGTGGAGTTTGAGAGAGTGGGCGCCACTGTGTGTACCAGCGTATCCGATGATTACTTTTTAACAACCGTTTCCAAAGCAGACCGAGCAATAATGGGCTGTATTAAGAGCGGCCCAGCTTGGCTCGATTATTGTCCCAATGCTTCACAGCAGCACATTTCCATGGGCTCGTTACCTCACTCCATTTCCCCAGCCCCCTCCCTTCTATACGCGGCAGGAGGGAAGCCATCGTAAACATGTCCTTATTTTTAACAAGGATTAATTAATTCCTGTCGAAGGTTATGCTATGCCAAGCACATTTTATCTTTGGTGGAATAGCCTATGCATTTTCATTGCATAAAAGCCCACACCCTTGGACGTTGAACGTCTCTTCTGTAGCTCTCCGAAGTGTTTTTGGGTTGTGACACGTGGTGTTAATCACGGTGTCAGACGTTTCACTCTACGTCCTGGGATTCTTCTGTGTTCTGCTTTGATCAAGTGACATCATGACTGGACCCGAGGGTGGCCCAAGTGAAAGCGTGCAGCTCCCTGTAATCGTGGGAGTCATTTGAACTAGCTAAAACTGAGGATTGCCGTCCGGTTGATGCCAGAAGGTCACATTGGGAGTCCGAGCGCAGCCCTATTGCCCAGTAACTCTTTTCATTGATAGTAGAAGCATGGTACAAGCGCTACATGCAATAATGACTTTCCAGATGGGTGCCTCGCATGTGTTCTCTTCGTGATCTACCAATGCTGCCTCTTAAGTTTTATCCGCATCTCCGATTAGCATGGTTGGCTACGTACGGTGAGAAAGAAGTTCAACATAATACTCTACAGGTTTCTTTGATTACCGGCACACACCACCGCACCCGGATGTACATGCACGAGGCACCACCTCTGAGCGTGTCCATTTAATGGTGGCGTGATGTCGTGTTCTCTCACAACAGCGGCTGTCGATTCGTCTCTGCCCAAGAGCCTACTGACTAGCGTGAAATGTAAGTACCATTACAGGAATGAACAAGGGCGGAGATGGGTATTTCTCATCGCCATGTGGCTCGGATGTCAATGTAGTGCACTCGCAGGATCAGGTGTTCACCACTAATCGGGTTTAGTTTGAAAGCGGCAATTATATTTTGCATTTTCTTTCCCCATTAAACAACTTTAGGAAGTGATGCACTCAGAAGTGCTCAGTGCAGTGCTCGTATTTCATTATCGACAAATGAAGTGCTTGATGTAATGGAATCGGCCCTGGGATTGTTTAACAGTCCCCAGTATTGGGTACTGTGGCTGTTGTCCAGGTGGTGGATTCATAATTACACTTTGCACGTTAACCAGATGACTCACTGTGGGAAGCACTGGCACCGTGGTTTTTTGTACCCAGAAGCTAGCACAATCTGGTGTGTTTGCAATGTTGTTCATTTGAACTCTATCCAATATTGTGTATTGCCACTGGCAGAACTCATGGCATTTAGAGGAAGAACTCTTTCCAGTAACAATCTTGTAAAACATTATTTGTTTGGCGAGCCTGACAGCTGATGAGACCCTTAATATTGAAGTCTGTCCTTAAGTTTCTACCCATTGTACATGATTACACAAGGACATTAATATAATTTCATAGACACTCAAACACAACATATTTTTCAGATCTGTAATAAAGGTTGAATTATTCATTTAAAATTTTCAAATTTTAGCCTTTGAGTAATCTGCCCTCCTAATTAGCTTCAGTGGAGTCATCTGTACACTCTGCAATTATTAACGTCTGTTATCAAAAAAAATGTGTTCAACAAAATGGATATGAGACCCATTGGTTCCCACTTGCTTGTGAAAAATAAACGAAAGGGTAAATCCACTACTTTAATTGATTGTCTGCAGGGCTCTCTGAACAATGGGTGCTTTGACCTCCCAGTTTTCACATTCCAATCCTCTTGCCTGCCTCCCCCTAACAACTAAACAGAATTTACATCTGAATGCAATACACTGCTAGACGGGGAAGCCAAACTACTCTTGAGGATAGGGGAAACCTAATTTGAGAATTGCTTGCTTGGCAGGTGGCCGGGTGACATGGGGAAGAGATGGGTGGGGGGGTCATAATGAGCATGTAGCAGCACTGAGGCTACACGGATAACTTGGGTTCGGATTCGGGCTTAATCCATCTATCGGCTACGATTAAACCAGATTTTCATGTATAGCTAGTTGATGGCCCCAGACCACCAAGATCCATTTTATCTTCATCTCCGAAGTGTTTTCGAGTCAGGCTGCGAGTTGTTCGGCATGGTGTCTGATGTTTCTCTCCCAGCACGTGGGGCGAGCGCCACTATAGCGGGATGTTAACGCCCTCGCATGGTGTACAGGAGGTCGTGGGTTAGATCCCCACCCTACCACCTATGGTTTTGGAGTTTGCATGTTCTCCCCGATGGTCACGTGGATTTTTCTCCGGGTCCTCTGGTTTTCCTCTCCACATTTAGGAACATGTATTGATAGTGTTTGGCTGCTATAAATGTGCACATGATAAGCCATTTTCTCGAGTTATCATTTGTGGCCAGGTTGCTTCTGAAAAAGAGCTATATAGCTCAGTGGGCCTTACCTGTTGCAATGAAAAAAAATTGGTTTAGTTTATTACAACACAGCCACGAAAACCCAAGTAGTATCTAATTTTATATGTTACTTCATTTAGATTATTCCAACCTGACGACTCAAATATAATTTTATTATTATTGATGTGATGAACAAACTTGACAGGCAACGAAGTAGTACTTGCCACAATGAACCACAATACCTTGCTGATCTGGTGTCATCCTCACAGCAGCGGCATTTGGCTAGCCATCGAACAAAGACAGTCGCCGCATTGAGCTCTCAGATGCGCTTCTGCGGCCGTCTGGAACGCTCTTCCGATATTAGGAGGCTACTGGAGCTATGCACTTTTAAATGTAGATTGAAATCTCATTTCTTCAGAACTGCTTTTTGTATTTAGTTTATTGCCCTTCTCCCGTGCCTCCGATTAGCACGGGAGAAGGGCAATAAACTAAATACGTATAGTGCGAAATAAGTTCAACGTACATACATACATACTCACATGCACACAATGGACGTCGAGTGAAAGCGATGACTTTGCACGGCCGCAGACCGGGACCAGCAGCGGCGGGCGTGGCTGCGGAAGGAGGTGCGTCACGCAGAGCAGGATCTGCGGAGCAACCCGTCGCTGTCTCGCTCGGGCTCCCGGCCGGCCTCCGCTAGCACCACATCGCCGTCGCGCGCATGGGTGGGTGAGCGACCGAGCGAGAGCACCGCGTTTTATCCGCCGCGTTACACTTCAGCCCCTTTGCCTCGCTCCGGCGACGCATTAGGTCAGGGGGTTGGCAGGGTTTCTCCCATCTCGACATTATCCGGCAGTGAGAAGGGATGGGAGGGAGCTGGAGATATGGAGTTAAGAGGGGCTGAGGATATGGTGCTATGCGGCTCTGAAGCGTTGCCACAAGCAATGAAACTAAAAAACGAAGGCCCACTGAGATCTTGAAGCTCTTTTTCAAAAGCGACCTGGCCACAAATGATAGCTCAAAGGAGTGACTTATCACGTAGAAATTTATAACAGCTAAATACTCCAAACGCATGTTTCTAAATGTGGAGGGGAAAACCGGAGGACCCGGAGAAAAATCCACGCAACCTCGAGGAAAACCTGCAAACTCCAAATATACGGGCATCTGGGTCGGGATAAAACCCACGACTTCCTGCATACCAGGCGAGGTAGTTAACATCTCGCCACCGTGGTGCCCCAATGAGCTGAGCCCCAGCATTCTCAGCTTAGGTCTGTTTTCTGAATAGTTATTGAAAAGGTATCATTCTCCCCCTAGGGTCTCTCACACTGCCTCGTAATATTACATGATCATATTCCAAGGTTTATAAGATGCCCTGTTGTTTTCCCTGTCTTTTAAAGCAAAAGGTGGAGGGGGGTGTTTCTCGTATCTCGGTAGGTGTTAAGGTGTAACCGGTATTTTTGAAACTTTATTCAAACAGGACAAAAGTGTTTAGTGCATCTGACTTCACGGATCATCTTGTAATCTGGAGCCCCACGGGGTTACGTGCATATGTATTTCTGACTCGTATATTGAGGGTAGCGAGATGTTAACTACTTCGCCCGGCATACAAGAGGTCGTTGGTTCGATCCCGAATCCACGACCTCCTGCTGCCTGCATATTTGGACTGCATGTTCTTCCTGTGATTGCGTGGATTTTTCTCCGGGGATCCTCCGGTTTCTCCCTCCACATTTAAAATCATCAATACATGCAGTCCAAATATACATTTCCACGCGGAGACGAGCCACTTCGTCGAGTTATCATTTGCGATAGCGCCGGGTCGCTTCTGAAAAAGACCCATGTAGCTCAGTGGGCCTTCCCCGGTTATATAAACATAAATATAAAATAAAATTATACAAAATCGCCGCGTGGCTTTGCTCTGCCACAGAGCCCCTCTCCTCCGACGCGGTGCGGCAGTGCCTTGGTGCTGTCGTCGCGCTTGCCGTCGTGTGCGGGGGCGCCGCGCGACGCCGGACGCTCCTCTTCGCCGCCGCCGCCGCTGCACGGACGAGACGCAGCGCGCTGGGCCGACCTGCGGCACCGCGCCGGATCCCAGCGTGGTGGGGCGGGCGCGTCCCTGCCCGGCTCCCGGCGCGCCCGGTCCCTACTGTCCTGCCCCTCCGCAGGCGAGTGCCCGGCCGCCCACCCCTGCCCCCCCCCCCCCCCACCCCCCCTCGGCCCCCCCCCCCCCCCACTCTGTCGTCGTCAAGCGTGATCATCAGTCCACTGCCGGGTGAAGGCGTTTCTAAGCTGTTTTGCAAGTTATTAAACAATTCAAGTGAGAGGCCATCGGAAGATGCTGCACAAGGCAATCGTATAAAGAGCACAGCATCTTAATATTAATGATTGATACAGGCCATCACTAAATGGAACTGTCCATTGCAAAATGGAACTGTCATTGGAAATATTTATTTAGCTTATTCCATCTTTGAGAACTAAAATGTTTAGTTTCATATGCAGTGGAAATCACTTTTTTCTAGAGCATATGAAAGAGCAGGTGAACAAAGAGTCCTGGATTTACAATGCAGATTCATAAAAAATGTGGGTAATGATTATTCTTATTCTGGTTTTTACTTGGGCATCATGTCAGCCAACGAGCACTGTCATACAGATATAAATAGTTGGTCCAAATTTGTTTGAGAGAGGATAATTGCTCATAACATCCCATGGTGTCGCACTTAGTCAGATGATGCTGCATTCAGTTTCATGTGCATGTCATACCATCACCTTATTCCGTGAATAAGCCATATTTAAAATAAAATGAGAAGTACTTCCGACATTATTACCGATTTATACATTTTCCCTGCGAGGTTGTCTAATGTGTGGAACCGTGCTTATATTGACATGACTTGAGCAATAGTTCTGTGACATCGTGATCCACGGGCCCAACTCATACATGGCAGCTAAACAATCCTTTATTTACTGCACCGTTGACATCCGGCAAAGCGCCTTTTCTCCGTGCCAAGCCACCGCTGCCCGGAGAAAACCCCCCACGTGTAGGAGAGAACAAAGACAAAGACCCCCAGTATGGCCTTTACAGGCTGTTGGGGCAAGTGCTGTTAGCGAGCACCACACCCGGGCCGCCTTTGTCTCCCTCGTGGCGAAGTTCTTACACATCGCACTTTCGTACTCCTTTGAGGCCGAATCAACCTCGGGGAGGCCCAGGACCGGTTCGGATAATAGTCGCCGGTGTCGGCATGTGAGCGGGAATGGAACCCGGGCTGCCGAGTTGGTAGCGCGGCGCGCTGACGGCGACACCGCCGCTCGCAGCAGCGAACGCGGCGACCGGGAGGACACTGGCAGCAGCCAACGCACACGTGCGAGAGAGAACCTCCCCGAAGGCTGCTGACGCTCCTGGCTGTGCCCCCTCCACCGCCGCCCCCGTAAACGTCAGGCGCCGCCTCGGCCCCCGAGCGGCCGCACCGCGACGCTCGCGGCCGCGCGCTTGCGGGCGGCGACGTCCTGGAGAAGCACGCCGAGTCGTTCACGACGGCCGAGCGACCGTTCACACCGCGCGTGCTCAGGTCGGACGCGAGCGCCGCGCTGCTGGCCCGCACGCGTCACTACGCGCCGCCCCGACGCCGGGCTCGCCAGCCGCCTGCCGGGAAGACGTTCGTGGAGAGGGACGCGCAGACGGACCCCGACAGGTGCGGGGGGTCATTGTGGCGCGTTCTGACGTTGGGTGCTTTACGTTTTTAACGAGATTTTTTTTTTTTAGGGATTCCCGCTTGGATTGAAAGCGTTCGCGCGTTAGCTGTTTCCATGCATCTGTCCAGCTGTCTGTCGTTAACGGTGGGGCGTTATCGTTCCCACGTTCTCGGGTCTTTCGGTAAAGTCACGGCGGTAGGTTCAAAGACAATAACAAAAAATAACAAGCAGACAAAAAACTACGACATTTGGATCGCAACACAAGCGGTCGTCTTGTGTTGCGATCGAAACGTCGTAGTTTTTTGTTGTTGTTGTTTTTTTGTTATTTTCCTTGAACCTACCGCCGTGACTTTACCGAAAGATCCGAGAATATGAATTCCTGCAGTCACGAAAGCTTTAAGTCAAAGATTATGGTTCTCGTGAAGATGGTCCAATACGAACCAGATTTGAGTGTAGAGTTGCGTTGCTGCTATTTGGGATTTTTCTCACCGAAAATTGCCCGAATTGATCGAAGGGTTGCCCAAAATATGGAGATGAAATACCAGAGCAAAGACCATCGATGTTAAATTTGCTCATCAGATAGCTTAGTCTCTGCTTAGACTGTCTCTATGCCCTTGCAGTTACTTTTGTACATATATTGTCTTGTATCTCTCTTATGTCTCCTGATGCCCTCTATGCAGCGAGGATATGTACCAGACGGACGCCAATCATGCACGCTGGGTGCTGGAACAGGTGTGTTCACTTACCTGCACCACTGCTCTGCTTCAGTAGAAAAAAAACAACAACACCATTCTTTTGATTTAAAGCTTTCGTGACTGCAGTAATTCATATTCTTAGTTTTTTCGGTAAAGTCACGTTGAAGAGAAACAACAAAATAACAAAATATATATAAAACAATAAAAAAATTCTCACGACGTTTCGACCATAACTCAAACGGTCATCATCAGGTGTGTCGGTTTGCATAAATTTATTTTGAAAACGGCATATTTATTTATTTATATATATATATATATATATTCCATACACCCAGCCATCAGATTTACCATGGAAGTCGAAATAGATGGCAAGATACCTTTTTTGGATGTCCTAATTAAAAAGAGACCTGATGGTTCAATGAGCCACTCTGTCTACAGGAAAGCTACCCATACGGATGCTTATCTGAAACCGGATTCCCACCACCATCCATCACAGAAGAATTCTCTCATCAAGACTCTGTATCATAGAGCCCAATGCATATCCGACCAGGAACGCATAAGCAGTGAACTCAAGCACGTACACCAAGCTCTTAGGGCTAATGGTTACTCCGACTATACAATCCGCAAAGCTATCACTCAAACCATGAAGAAGAACCCTCTTGAGGAGCCTTTCAAAACCATCACTTTACCCTACATTGCTGGGATCACAAAAAAGATCTCCAAAATCTTGAATAAACACAAGATCCAGGTCCGTTTCAACACATTACATAAAATCCGTGATCTGGTTCCGTCTGTAAAAGATGTGATTCCGGACATACAATACCCTGGTGTCTACAAACTAAGTTGCCTCTGTGGTAGTAGTTACATTGGAGAAACCAAACGCCATATCTCGGACCGCATTCGTGAACATAAAGCAGACCTTAAACACGGTAGGACCAACACCTCGGCCGTAGCAGATCATTGTTCTAATTCGGTAGGCTCACATGCCATTGACTTTTCCAAGACGGAGGTTATTTGTAAGCCATCTGGCTTCCATGAGAGATTCGTTCATGAGGCTATCCACATATACAAGCACAGAGACAATTTCAACCGAGAAGATGGATTCTATCTTAGCAATCATTGGAAAGATTTGATAAATCATTTCAGTTCTTGATTGATTGTTCACGCTTACAGTGGCTTTCAGACAGCATACATAAAAACAAATTTCGTCTCCCCCCTCCTCTTTTCAAAAAATAGATGGACTAGTCCTGGGCAAACTGCCAATCGTTGCGCGTGACGCAAACGGTATTTTTATATATATATATATATATAAATAATTAAATATGCCGTTTTCAAAATAAATTTATGCAAACCGACACACCTGATGATGACCGTTTGAGTTATGGTCGAAACGTCGTGAGAATGTTTTTATTGTTTTATATATATTTTGTTATTTTGTTGTTTCTCTTCAACGTGACTTTACCGAAAAAACTAAGAATATGAACACCATTCTTATTGTGTAAAGCAGGGGTGGGGAACGTCTGGCCCGCGGGCCGTACAAGGCACCGCGAAATCATTTGGTTTGGCCCTGCCAAGGCAACCGCAGGCGGGACTCGAAATTCAATAAATCTTGGAGCAAACCTGGAAAAGCAGTTGCGAGTAGCAACATCATCAATACCGGCTAACATCACCACACGCCTCGCCAAAGAGGAGCAGTTCCAGCCATCGCATTAGAGGCGAGTTAATGAAATGTTTGACCAAATATAACGGGCCTAATTTTTAAGTTGATAATTTTGTATGGCCCGCGAATGATGTTATAAATATCCAAATGGCCCTTGGCAGAAAAAAGGTTCCCCACCCCTGGGGTAAAGTAACTCTGCCACATGCAGAAGGGCTTGGGCTACCTTTGCATCGCTGTCTCATGCATATTGTCATTATTAATTATTCACCAATTACAAAATCACCCAGAATGCACCCATTCTTGTCAAGCTAAGCAGGCTTGAGTGTGGATAGTGCTTAGATTGGTGACGGTTGTGCACTCCAGGCTGTCATCAGTGGCTACGGAGCTACTCTGTGGTGGTCAGCAGAGGGCAGTGTAGCAAAATTAATCTTTGTATTGTACTTCTATGCTCCCCAACCTTCACCAACCCACACCTACCAGCGCACTGTTGTATGACCCCAACGACCCGTATGGAATGGAGAAGAACCCTTTTCCATCCAATGCCTTTAAGTTTATCATTGTTTACCCTCTGCTTTCATTCTCCAACACGAGAAGGGTTGCACTGCTCTGTGGAAAAGTGCTGCGCCCTGCTGTGTGGACGAGACGTGACGTGAAGGGATCTCAGAAGTAGTTTTACGTGGTATCCACTTCCATGGACACTGAAGGGTTGCACTGCCGTCTGGCTGGAAAGGCGCTACGCACCACTGTGTGGCACCAGAGGTCTCGTGAAGGAGTCTCTGAAGTAGCTCTGTGGTGTCCGCTTCCACGGGCTGTTCTCCAACACTTAAGTTTTTCACCGCCCTGCGATAGGATACTCCGTCCCGCGACGCGACACCGATAGCATAATCTGGATAAAACATTTGGGAGGAAATCGCCAAAAAATTATGATTTGTGGTCTCGTGTTTGGCGACTGCAGGCAAGGTACACCGAGGGGCTAGAAGCCCCCGTGCGGGCACGGGACTGGTTCCAAGCCACAAGTCTTGCGCCGGGGTAAGTTTCCAGGTGCTGGCATTTGCGTGCTTGGCACAACGAACGATGCTGCCGCACGATTTTATCGGTGGAAGCGATTGTGGAAAACACTGAGCCAAGCGCTGCGGTAGGTGTCGCGATTGGAAATGTGTGCGCATTCTACGATGTTTTTATTTTTGTACATTTTTTACGCCGAATATCTTTGTCGCATTCTTCATCCTCGCCAGCCATGACCAAAATGAATGGGCAAGCCTTTATCCAACAGTGGATTGACAAAGGTCCGTACGTTGTTATTTTTTTAGCGTGTATAATGTCCGTGGAAGATCCCGATCGGCGCGTCGACACCATTCTTAGGAGGGGTGACGTAGGATCCGCTGCCCCAACCACGTGGGGACCCCGCGGGGGGGGAGGGGGAGTGGTTATTATTTAAAATTACTGAATTATTTGATAACGTTCGCTGGAGAACATTTTCAACTGCTTGGTAATTTATCACATTGTTTATTATCTAGCAGTAACCCATTGAAGCTGTCTTAGCTTGGAGGCCTGGGACTTAATAAAAAAAAATGGAAACTTAGATTAGAAGACCGGTGAAATTGGAATAAAATAATGGCAATAACAACATTCGGCAAGTTATTGTTGATTATAAATTGCTTAATTAATAGCTAAGCACCATACATCAGTGTACTGCGATAGTGGTGTGTGTTGTATTTGTTTATCTGCAATGTTTTTGTGAGTGTTCTACCCTATTATCAATTCCCCCCCCACCATATTTCTACGGTTGTCCCTTGCAAACGAAACTTGTCTCGGCTTGTTCTTATAAAGCACTCTCCCGCCACGGAGCTGCGCGAGCTGGCCAGGAGGTGGCAAGCGTAGAGCGCTAGCCCTCGTACGTGTGGGGGTCTCTCTATGTTCTCCAGTTTGCTGCTGCGCGAAGCCCCAACCGCTCTTTCACGGAATTGGCCAGAGGTCACAAATTCAGGAACCTCCTGGAAAAAAAAAAGTTTTGAATCTCGGCAATGGTTTTCCTGGCTGAACGGTTGACGTAAAAACAATTGGCATTCTAAAATAATTGGCATTTATAAGGCAAGGACCCATCTCAAAGGGCTGTCACCCACCGGCCTCTAAATATAAATATTTTGTCGTTGGTTTTAGGTCCAAGCCATCCGCAGCGGAGAGGGCACGTTTACAGTAAGTGGTGTCTCGTGCATTTGGTACATTCCTGTGTGTGCTCGAGTCAGGCTGACTTAGCGGGGAGTGGGGGGATAGTGGGTAGGAAGAGTATTAGTGTCTGCACACAGGAGGGCTTCTCTTTAAAGTGAACTCGCTCCCCTGTGGATGCCCGGCACTCAAGTGGACGCACATCTGTTAGTGCGCAGCACTTGCATGTGGCGCGAGATGCATTGCAGCTGTGGTGCGACTCCATCGTGGGCGGTGATGGAATCAGCATGGCGGCTCTTACGTCCATCAGTGGACAGAGCATGGCTCCACAATGCACCTGAACTATTTATCTTGCCCTGCCAGCTGTACAAATTTACTCATGGTGTTGAAAGTTTTCAAAAATATCTGCCTTGATTGTGCCTTTCTGCTCATAGCACATTGCTAATTGACTAACAAGGCTTAGAAAATAGAGAATGAAATCAGTGTTGTTGAATTGATCTGTGTGTACACACTTAATCTATGTACACTTATCATGTTGTTCTTACCCACAGAGAAGAAGAGCTGAAATACTTGCAGTTTATTGGACAGGTCACCGATGACATCTTGGCAATGGGATTGTTCTCAAATTCGTAAGAAAGCAAACCGGGCAATCCGGTCATTTACATGAGCCTCATACACACTTTCACTTTGTAGTAATTTGTCGCTGGGAATGGTGGCATACAATTGTAGACCAACATTTAGGAGGCAGGGGTTGGTAAGGGGTTGGTAGAAACATGTGGCTTTGTGAAACACCCGCACATGCTGGGCCGCAAGGTGGCCAGGAGCTGGTAGTACAGCAAGTGGGTCCATGAACCTACCTACCCCTTTGGACCATTGAGATGTTATCCCCTCGTCTGTACGGATTTTCTCCGGGTGTTTGCATTTCGTTCCGCATGCAAAACCTCCTTAAATAGGTATAGCCAAACACCCCAGTGCAAGAGGAGCCTTCTGTAAAAAAAAAAATGTCTGGAGAGTCAGTGTGGCTGTCCTGAATAAATGAATTGCATTATTATAGTTTTCATTGTAACTACTGTAATATTGTAAAATGTGAATGCCGGTTTATTCACGTAAAAAAATTCTGGTAGTAGCAAACAGGTCAACTTATGAATTATATATTAAACTGGTATTATCACCAAAATATGCTGCTTTGATTATAATTGAGCATTTATTTTTGTCGTAAATGACACTGCAACTTAAGTAAAAAAAGAATACATTGTTGCCTTATTTTTAAACCATCTATTTGTAGTCACGTGCATTGTCCTTTGTGCAATGAAAGGTACACCACTATTTTCAAACATTCAGGATAGCAGCCAATTTCACAGCCAACAAAGCAATGAACCTATAATTAATCCGTTCACCTGGAAAACGTTCTTATTCAAGGCACACCGTGTATTCTCCCAATTGTGTGAGAGAGTGCCAGATCCACCGTATGCGTGTTTTAAATATTGCCCCATCGTGATCCTGCCGTGCTGTAATGCTAAACGCGCTAGACCCGTATTCTAGGCCATCGGGGTCGATCTCCCGGCATGGCAGTTGAAATAACGAACAAGTTTCTTAAACCTGCCCCCCCCCCGCCCCCCAGCCACTGGTTCATCCAGCAATAAGAGTAGAGACACCGCAGACGATCGGCAGGTTGCACGTGGTTGGGATAAAGTGTGGGTACTCTCACCCTCTTTCAAGATGCCTGGCCAGCGTGTAGGAGTAGACCACAAAATACTCCCCATCGTGGGTGTCTAGAACTCGCTCGAGTGGAAGCTCTTATCGCAGCAGTGAGACATTTCAGGGTTGCGTCAGTACCACTTGTACAAGCTGTGTTTGACGAACAAACATAGTGAAGGTAATAAAAGTAAATAAATGTAATTGTCTTCTGTAAATCATCTCGGGGTGGACGGCCACCAGAGCGGATATCTTTGCTCCATCCGTTTCATTTCTTTGTTACACGACAGCACACCGGTTGCACCATCTGCTGGCCTGACCTCCTTGCCCCCGCCCCCCCCCCCCGTCAAGGGACGCTCTCTGAGTCTCTGTGTTTCTTCTCAGGGGATCAGTCTGCCGAATCTATCTTTGAGTTTGCCCGGAGACGTCGGGGGACGGCTTCGCGTTTGTAAGAGCATTCGAGACTGACCGCCTTGTTTAAGTCTGCGCAGGGCTGTTTCCCCCCCCCCTTCCCAGCGATCCACGTTACACGTGGCCAGCGTTTGTCAACATGCTTTTTTTTTGTTCCTCCTTTGCTCCCGCAGGGTCCTCGTGAGAGTGTTTGAGAGACACGTGGAGAAAAACAGACACCGTCTTGAAGAAGTGAGCTTTGTGCCCGCGAGAGCTTTTTAAGGCTGGGCTAGGGGATCGTCGCTGATACATCTGGAAAGGCGGGGAGAGGGGGGGGTTGAGTGCTTTCGTCTTGTTTCTGCGTGCATGCGATGGTGCCCTAATCCGTGGCAGTGTGTGGTGGGCCAAATTGAATAGGTTTGCGAGTAAACCGTAGCAGAGGATTACCGTGAAGTCACGTACTCCATGACTCGGGTGACTGACTGCAGGCGCGACAAATCACCAGGTTCTACCATGACCTACCGCCCGTAGAGTTCAGTGGTCACGGCGCTAATCTAGGTTAAAAGTGTTCCGCTGAAAGTATGTATATGGAAACAAACATATATATATCCAGAGCTCTGGTCGGTCTCCACGTAAAAATAGATGTGTTTTAGTCCATTAGCATGTTGTCCTTCGAGACCAATGGGATCCAGCAGCATGTATTTAAACACGCAAACTCTGAACTGCTTTTCACCCTCCGGGACTCATCAGCAGTCATGCTTGTTCAACGAAATGCTGCTGGGTCACCAGATGTTATTGGCAAAAGCACTCCCATCTGCGCAGTGGGGACCTGCTGTACGCAACATATATTTTGTTTATGTTGAGACACAGAAGAAAGTTCTGCTACATATGGCATAGTGCTCCACAATGACCCTTAATTAGTTTATACGTGGAAACTATGCTTTTATGAGCTCCCCTGTGATTTAGTGCAACCCGCTCCCGAATGGGTGCTCTAAATTCACCGCTATTTTGTGCGCATCTGTTGGAACTTACCAGTGACATTATAGGGGTGTTTCGATGGCTCCTCGGACCCAGCGACATTCATTTGTCGCTTATCTGGCCGCACAATAGGTGAAGAGAGGTTAAATATAATGCCATTGCCATTCGCCAAATGTTCCATTGTGTGGTGGGGGGGAGGCGGAGATGGGGGGGGGTTATTATTTTTTTCCAGAGCCCACGCATAATGTGCGGTCATTAGGTTAACATGAATTACATCTAAAGCCATCAATAAATGATTTAATCGAATATGCCACACCACACCTAATGCAAGCGTTCTGGAAAAAAAGCAGATTCGTTTAGCTAATGGGGGGGTGGGGTGGGGGGTGAGTTCTTGTTAATCCCCGAGATTAGATCTGTTTGCGTGTCGCTTTGGCTGTGTACAGCTGCTGCTGTGCTCCTAAGCAATCGCTTGCGCTGTGCCGTCTAAGCAGTCGGCCGTCTGTCTACAGCAGCAGCAGCAGCAACAACAACAACAGGCTCAAAACAAGCATCAGCGTTTTAAATGGCAGAATTGAATGCACGTGCATCCTGTTATTGCCTGCTGCCAAAATATCTCGTAGCTGTCGGTAAGCAAAATTTGGCTTACTCCTCGCCCTCGTGGCTTTTGGCGTGCATTCTGCGAGAGTACTGATTGTTTAACGTCGCTTAATAATGGGCTTTTGATTTAAAGCTTTCGTGACTGCAGTAATTCATATTCTTAGCTAAGAATATAATAATGGGCTGTGTAACGGCTCGGTTTTTCTCCAGGTAAAGTTTTTTTTAAAGTAAAAATGTACAATTTGTAGTTTATACTATTTTCTACCTAATGATTTGTGCCTAGTGACAATTGTGTTAGCCAAGAGACAGTGCCACACAAAGTGACATTCTTGCAATGCCAATATTTTATGCCATTTTCACCAGTGTCTTGGGACCAATTTCCTTTCTGACAACAATTGAATTAATCCCCAGGCTTCCTTGTTAACGAGCTTTTCTCAATGGGTTCGTACCTGGTTTAAAATAAATATATTGGTAGGAACGAAGTTGTAAACTGAGTGTACCAGCCTGCAATATATTAATGTGTCCGTCCGTCCGTCCCCTTTCAATACTTTAACGAAGTGAAATCTCGTGCTGTTGGGTGTAAAATCAGCAATAGACAGCGCAGAGACTTGATCTGTCTTATTGCACCCAACATTTGGAAGTCACATTATCTCATTTGCGAACTTCGCTTTTGGGGATGTGGCAAATTCACACACAGCCCACAGCCGAATACCATTTGCGAGGCGAAGTTCGAAGGCACCGTGACGTTACTTTGAACAATGTTCCTACCAGCCCACCCTGCAGGGACCTGTTTAATCATTTAACCAATTGCCAACCATTTTAAATGGTCTCAGTGAATGTTATAATACAAACTTTTGCGGATAATGTAATAATAACGGCAATGCGTGTTCACGCAACCCGTATTCGCGATAACGCGGTTCTTCCGCTGGGGGAAAACGCACCATTGTGACGCGGAGCCTGCACCGTTGCAACGCAGTTTCTGAGCGGTCGACCAATGAACTGCTTTGTTGCGCGCGCGGCTGAGCGGTGTGGAAATTCTGGGTATGCCCGCAAGCATGATGCGGTGCGCAGCAGCATCGTACCCTCTGCTTTGTCAGGCCATTTTTACCGTGTGTGCGTAATATCGTTTCTTGCCAAATATTATCGTGACATTTATTCGTCGTGGGGGAAAATTGTTCTCGCTTAACGTGCATTTTATTTTTTTGCTTAATGCGGCACTTTTCAGAAACTACTGCGTTAAACGTGGCGTGACTGTATGTTCAGCCCTTCGACAATCCTCGGTTGGATGAAGGCCTTCGCAATTGTTTGCGAGCATTGTTTGATCAGATCTTAACGGCGCTGGTCGGTGAAGGGGCGGGGGGGTGTACTGAACCAGTTCAGATATCACTCACCACTGAAGTTAGCTCAAGCTGAGAATCAAACTCGGGTCGCCGGGTTCATAGCACAGTGTGATAGCCACTGCACCACCGCTCGCTCCACCCTCACGTGTGACTGCTAGGAATGTTTATAATCCATAAAAGTCTCACCAAGTCACGGGATTATCAGGAGAGTCGTGTGTTGGGACACCTAATAAGTTCATAATAGATGGATGCCTCTGCTCTCTCTCGAGGCCTCTGCTGTCTTTTGAGTCCTCTGCTAAAGAGAGAGCAGGTCTTGGCTTACCCCCTCCATCCTGTCCGATCTTTAGCTTTCTTAATCATTTTACTGTACAGACCTCATCCTTCAAGTTGTCAAGCTGGCACCGTTTTCTTCCTGTTTGCATCTTAGCAAACATCCCTGCATGCAGAACTTCCTTCATGGCGCTTTCACCTCTTTAGAATGTGTCCGATCCACATTTAGCATTTTCTGAGACTCCTCTCCTGCTGAACTTGCTCTAGAACCTCCTCCAAGTGTCTGCTGCATGAAACACGACACTGGATACGAGGGTTTTCACTCGCCTCTTCAACGCTCTGCTCGTTCATCTTGGCAGCAGCATTCTTCTCTTGCTCAATTCGTGGCACTAATCTCCTTCGAGCATCTGCCATCTTTTGTCAGAATACTTCCCAAATATTTAAAACGGTGAGGATTATAGTGACTTCTCCGGTTGATATTTTCGCAAGGCGTTACATTTTGCACAGCCGGTAGTAATGTTGACGGTGATCACGACGACGCTGCCGCTGCCGCCGCCGCCGCCAATGAATGCAATTCCGTTATGCAGACCAAGATGCGCCACATGCTGGAGGTGCTGAAGAGCGATCTGGGGATGGAGAAGTCTCGGGAGTGGGGCCACTCGCCGCCGCGGGACTGGAGGCCCGACGGATCGGACGGTCCGCTCGCCCGCTCTCGCGATTCGCTCCGCCGCGACGGCGGAGATTTCGATGACGGCGGCGATTCACCTCCGCGCCCTCCGCAAGAGCGCCGCGCGAGAGACGGACATGGCCAGCACGGCCAGCACGGCCAGCACGGCCAGCACGGCCGCTCGCGCCGACCCGTCGACTGCTGGAACGGCGCGGGCGCCGAGGCCTCGCCGGGCCACGCGCCCGGGAGCTCCGGCGACGGGAGAGGGGGGCGGCGCCGGCCTTCGCCGGCCGATGTCCTGCACGGCCACGGGGACGCGTTGCTGGAATTGTCTGGGAGGCACGGTGACCCGGACACGCGTGAACGGGAACTAGGAGATTGCAATATTGATGTAAGTTGCTCAATAATGTTTATAGATATATTTAACAAAAAAGATAGAGTTTCGTAGTTTACTTTGAATTTAATGGAGGACTTATTTGATCATGCATGCATACCTATGCTTCCTCTGATGCCAGGCAATTTTTTTTAGTAAAGCATTTTACACGTGGTTTCTTGCACTTGTGTATACAAAGACAATACAAAGATCCTCCATATAGCCTTAACGGTGCTGTTAGCGAGCACCTATGAAGCTCGCCACGGCACACAAGGGGGTGGGGGTGGCCAACCCCACACCTGGCCCCCTTTGTCTCCCCAGTGGCGATATTTACACACCTCACCAGGTACTCATTTGAGGCTGAGTCGACCTAGGGGAGGCCCAGGACCAGTTTAAATATTCACCACTGTTATTGCTTCGTGAGCGGGAATGCAGCTTGGGTCGCAGAATGTTTGAAAATATACAGATATACTCGTGTGTGCAAGTAAATTTACAATGTTAAACTTTGCAAGTCGGTGTGTACCTATTTGAGAATTGAACAATATGGCTAAACTGGCCCTCGGGTATATCCACTACCGGTCCAGGGCCGCCAATGCAGATGAGCACCGACGCACGGGAATTTGCACAGGAGAGACGCGCCGAGTCTCGACACGTTGACATGTTTGAGGGTTACTGCGGTACTCGGCAGGCCGTGGTCCTAGCATTGACTGATGTTCGCGTAATGATTAAGCGATTGCTTTGTCACCCTCGGCCAGGCTGCCCTGGATGATTCATCGCCGCTTCTCCCAGACGATGGACTGGATGACCTCCTGGCAAAGTATCGACATCGGCGCGACTTGAAGTACGACCGTTTCGGCGGCTTCCAACGCGAGGACGAGCAAGCGAGCCCCCAGCGCACCGGCGCCTCCAGCCCAGCCGAAGACGCGGGGAAGTTTCCGGCAACGGGCGAGTCGAACCGCGAGCGAGGTGATGGTGGCGTTCCAGAACCCGTGGGTGCCACGGAGAACAAAATCGAGGAGCGAGGCTCTGGTTTAAGCCACCGGAGCCGCCAGCACACTGGCGCCTCCAGCCCGGCTGAAGACACGGCGACGCTTCCGGTGACGAACGAACGGGAGGATGGTAACGATCCAGAACCGGTCACCGGCACGGAGAACAAAGTAGAGGGGAGAGACGGCGCCGGCGAGATTTGTCCCGATGCTGCCGTTGATGACGACGACGACTTCTTTGGCGGGGCGCAGACCGTCCACGCCGGCTCTAGGCTCAAGCTCGGCAGGACCATGGTGACCCAGGACATTGAGAAGTTGCAGAAGGTCATAACGAGCGTGCTCCATATCGGCGATGAGAAGACTAATGGTCAGTGTTCTGCCGACGAAGAAGCGGGGTTGGGCGACGAGGAGGAGGGTGATCCAGAGCGGGGAAGTAGCGACAAAGAAGAGGGAATGTCTCCCGCGGGAAGCGAGAAGGACGATGCAGATGCACGAGATGAAGGCGAGGGCAGTGACGATTTTTGACGAGTAGAGATCAACCCTACAACAATAGCCCCTTGCAATGATGTTTCGTTTCTTCCAAAGGTTTAAACCTTATGTCGCCGTTTTATCGTTCACGAAAAAAAAAGTTAAAACTGAGGTTCACACTGCGTGCAGTTCCGTTGTGTTTTTCGCTAATTCACAGAATAATTTTAAAGCTAAAAGATTGTATCCACTATATCCACGAATATACTGTTAACTTGACTGATATATTGTGTGATGCTTTACGAATTGTATATTTTTAGATGAACAGTATTCATGGAATAAAATTAAAACCTCTCGTGAAAGACATTTGATCTTTATTGCAATTTTTGAATCATTTCATCATCCCGGGTTGTGTTTTGAAATGCACCGATCGGTTTGTATCTTTAAAGTGTTTGTAAAATGTACTTGGTGCTCGAACCTGTAACTTGTAACCTGGGTTTGAATGTGGCTCCTTTGTGCTGGCATTGTCTGCAGTTGAACATCTCCCAGGGGTGTTTCGCAGGTCACCTCACCTGAAGAAGCCATCAGGTAAGGACCTATTTTCCACCCCTGACCAAACTCGGCTTGACACACGAGCACCTGGCCAGTTCTTTCCTGCGTTGGGGGAGGACTGCCTCGATCCAGCAGTGGATTGATCATGGTTGATGATGACGAAGTTAATGTTTGACTTTCTGGGTTTCCACAGGCAGGTCGCAGAAATGCCGACTTATTTAAACTCAAATGTTTCCTATTTAAATTTGTGAAAGGTAATATAATGTCCCACTGGCGCCGATCGGTGTGTGACTGTTCACGCGTCGTTTTTTGTTTACGAGCTTACTTGATTGTAACAGTAATTGGATGGAATCCATCATGTATGACTTATTTTAACGTAAACACGTATTCACTGCTGTTCTACACGCATTCTAAAACAGAGAGGATGTATTCATATTTTCATAACGTTTGAGAGTTGGATACAAGTGATGCGGATATCGGATGCAGGAGTGGCGGTGATTTAAACAAATGAACCGTACTGCAGCTCTGGCGAACTTTAAACAAATGGCGTGAACAAGTCACCCCTTGTATTGACTTAACAGCCAGACAACAAGTTAACTGTGCATGTGATGATGTTCTTCAGTGGATGTCTACACTCAAATCTACCTTTATATATGTGTTTATATTCCCATAAGACAGAAGCGTTTGATACAGTGTTTTGGACGCACGTACAGTGAGGGAAAAAAGTATTTGATCCCCTGCTGATTTTGTACGTTTGCCCACTGACAAAGAAATGATCAGTCTATAATTTTAATGGTAGGTTTATTTGAACAGTGAGAGACAGAATAACAACAAAATCCAGAAAAACGCATGTCAAAAATGTTATAAATTCATTTGCATTTTAATGAGGGAAATAAGTCTTTGACCCCACTGCAAAACATTACTTAGTACTTGGTGGCAAAACCCTTGTTGGCAATCACAGAGGTCAGACGTTTCTTGTAGTTGGCCACCAGGTTTGCACACATCTCAGGAGGGATTTTGTCCCACTCCTCTTTGCAGGTCTTCTCCAAGTCATTAAGGTTTCGAGGCTGACGTTTGGCAACTCGAACCTTCAGCTCCCTCCACAGATTTTCTATGGGATTAAGGTCTGGAGACTGGCTAGGCCACTCCAGGACCTTAATGTGCTTCTTCTTGAGCCACTCCTTTGTTGCCTTGGCCGTGTGTTTTGGGTCACTGTCATGCTGGAATACCCATCCACGACCCATTTTCAATGCCCTGGCTGAGGGAAGGAGGTTCTCACCCAAGATTTGACGGTACATGGCCCCGTCCATCGTCCCTTTGATGCGGTGAAGTTGTCCTGTCCCCTTAGAAAACACCCCCAAAGCATAATGTTTCCACCTCCATGTTTGACGGTGGGGATAGTGTTCTTGGGGTCATAGGCAGCATTCCTCCTCCAAACACGGCGAGTTGAGTTGATGAGACCAAAATGGAGCTCTTTGACCTCATCTGACCACAACACTTTCACCCAGTTGTCCTCTGAATCATTTAGATGTTCATTGGAAAACTTCAGACGGGCATGTATATGTGCTTTCTTGAGCAGGGGGACCTTGTGGGCACTGCAGGATTTCAGTCCTTCACGGCGTAGTGTGTTACCAATTGTTTTCTTGGTGACTATGGTCCCAGCTGCCTTGAGATCATTGACAAGATCCTCCCGTGTAGTTCTGGGCTGATTCCTCACCGTTCTCATGATCATTGCAACTCCACGAGGTGAGATCTTGCAAGGAGCCCCAGGCCGAGGGAGATTGACAGTTCTTTTGTGTTTCTTCCATTTGCGAATAATCGCACCAACTGTTGTCACCTTCTCACCAAGCTGCTTGGCAATGGTCTTGTAGCCCATTCCAGCCTTGTGTAGGTCTACAATCTTGTCCCTGACATCCTTGGAGAGCTCTTTGGTCTTGGCCATGGTGGAGAGTTTGGAATCTGATTGATTGCTTCTGTGGACAGGTGTCTTTTATACAAGTAACAAGCTGAGATTAGGAGCACTCCCTTTAAGAGTGTGCTCCTAATCTCAGCTTGTTACCTGTATAAAAGACACCTGGGAGCCAGAAATCTTTCTGATTGAGAGGGGGTCAAATACTTATTTCCCTCATTAAAATGCAAATCAATTTATAACATTATTGACGTGCGTTTTTCTGGATTTTCCTGTTGTTATTCTGTCTCTCACTGTTCAAATAAACCTACCATTAAAATTATAGACTGATCATTCTTTGTCAGTGGGCAAACGTACAAAATCAGCAGGGGATCAAACACTTTTTCCCCTCACTGTATAATATGCTATCTGCTCTATTAATTCACGAAACAAATTGTAGGCAACGCATTAAAAACCCCGGTATTGGACTGAAGGTGAGCGAGCAATGCTTTGAACGTAGATACGTTGCCTCAAGCTTATTTATTTTCTATCCGCTGCAGCTCATATCATGAACCAGCAGAGGGCACTAAAGTCACAGTAACGCACTTGAAAACCCAACTTTTTTATTTTAGCATAAGGCCCGCTGAGCTATAGAGCTCTTTTTCAGAAGCGACCTGGTCACAAATGATAGCTCAACGAGCTATCATTCAGCTTACCACGTGGAAATGTATGGCAGCCAAATACTCTATAAACGCTTGTTTCTAAATGTGGCGGGACAAGCCGGAGGACACGGAAAAAAATCCACACGACCACGGGGAAAATATGCACACTCCAAATATACAGGCGTAAGGATCGAACCCACGACCTCCTGCATACCAGACAATGGAGTTAACATCTCGCCACCGCGGCGACTTAAGTGCGTGTATAGTGTTAACTTATGGAAGGCGGGCAGTTTCATCTTAATGACTTGTTACTTATAGGTGCACAGCCAACGTTATTAATATTGAGAAGTATGGTTTGTGTCCATATACAATGATACAATGCTATATGTTCCCCAGTAAAAAAAGTATACAACTTCTTAACGGAATTTTCCCATCTTGGTCAAAATTCCACGACTGATTTCATACCTGAACAGCAAAATAAGTAATATAAAAAAACCACTTTTTTTTAAAACCACGCTTTAATGAAATGTACCGTGCTAGTAATGTAAATACTCCACGACTCCAGGAAGTGGGCCCGAAGTTTGCCACAACGTAAGGGGACCGTGGTGATTTACAGCCAACGTCAGTTGAGCGTGGACAATTAGACCCAAGCCGAACCATAACATTAAATGTTTTTTAAAATATGTTAAAAAATTTAATGATAGAATATAGTATTGTCATCAGTATGACATAAGTATACCAAGTTTTCAGTCGATACCACATTGGGAAGTGGGTAAAAATTGAGTTACAAGATTTGAGGATACAACAACAGACAGTGATATTCTTAGCTCTTTCGGTAGTCATGTTGAAGGGAAACAATAAAATAATAAAATATATATAAATCAAAATTTAACAGACAGTGAGTTAATAAAAAGCATGTAGTAATAACAAAAAAGGTTTGCTGGCTTGGGCTGCCTGGCTGACTGCCTGCATCCCACATTGTTGAGTCGGGTCTATGCGTGCTGACGTCATGTCCCCCCCCCCCCACCCATTCTCAACTCTGGCCGTGTATCCCGCGCAGATGCACGGTCAGTGCTCGCCATTAAATACAATTTCTATACATTTCTCCTTAATATGCATTCTCTTGATACATTAAAGTGAAATTAGACACCCATGTAAAGGGCCTGCGTGCATTTCAATACAGAGCATCTGTAAAACGTTAAGCTCAACATTTGTCAAGAACGCTGCTGTAACGTGAATAATGGGTGACGTTTTCCGTCTTCACAGCACAACAAACAAGTAGCTAAATATCAAACACTTGAGAGGTATTACAACAGATTGTTTTCGAATTGCATTTGTTCCAGCAAGCATGCCCTTGGTTATGAGATCGGGGAGGTCCAAACCGGTCCACAATTTGCTGTTTAAACAAAATTCTGCTGATAACATAAAACCCGCAAGGCCGGTTGACCATTCGCCTAAAACAGTTTAACGTGGAGATACGGAACCGAGGTGGATTTACTTTATTAGCCAGAATACACAGTAATGAGTTTCTTCAAATATATGTGTTCTCATTGATCACGATTGATATTTGGGTTTGGCGACAAAATAACAGTTACGGGCAACGGTAGTGCACGTTTAATTCTCAACAACTCAAAAACATTTGTTTTAAAGTAGGGTTAATTTAAAACAGAAATTAATATGGAAAGGTAAAACAAATGTTTAGCGGTCAATTAGTGGGGGGGGGGGGGGTCACAACACATCTGGAACGACCGTGTAAAGTATTTATGTGAATACTCATTGGTTGTTTCGGTAAAGTCACGTAGGTATAAAATAAATTAAATCGCGACGTTTCGATTGCAACACAAGCAATCATCATCAGGGTGGAGAAAACTACAGGAAGAACATTTTTAGCTGTAGTTTTCACACCTGATGACGATTGCTTGTGTTGCAATCGAAACGTCGTGATTTTATTTATTTTATATTTTCTACCTACGCGACTTTTACCGAAAGAACCAAAGAGTATGAAACCCTGCAGTCACGAAAACTTCAAATCTATTTCTGTGAACTCTGATATAAATCGCCAGGAGCAACAGAGAAGCCGTGGGGTCAACTCTCGGTGCCAACCACCGGCTCACTCGGCCACTCGTGCCTCGGTTTGCCTCGCCACCTCTGGGAAACAAAACGAGGACGTGCCAATGGAAAGGAGACTCATCTCACAATCCCAGGATGGAGGGAAAACTAATGCGCACCTCTTGCCTTGAGCGTTATGTCATTGTGCAACTGAC